GATTTACAATCAGCTGCTTCTCGGTTGGCTGGCATTATGCCACAAATCATAAAAGCGCATCTAGTATCAACGCCAGTTACGTGTGCTCTTGTGTGTGCGCCACCCGACCGACTGTCTGTCTGTCTGTCTGTCTATTTTCTGTGCTGTGCGTATACGTGATATTTTATGGGTCACTCGTTTCGCAAACGTCTCATAATTTTATGACCACGCCCCAAGCGTCCACAATTCGATTCTCTGGGCAACAATGGAGGCCGTAAAACTCTGCTTGTAACTGTTACTGTATCTCATTACATATGATTTACACACAGCCAAAGCGCACATCTATTGAAATATGATAAACACCTTCTTCAAAGCTTCTACATTCGCTTTTGCTTAATGGCACTTAAGTGACGTATAAGACTGTCCATTATGGGAATTAACAGCCGACTCCAGAGAGTTTTGAGTACTAAGTCGGAAATTAAGTATGACAATGTTGCAATACAATATTGTCAACTTTAACCATATCTTTTTAATTAGTTTTAGTTTTTCAGTTGCATTTTATGTGTTCTACTTTGCTTTGTGGTTTGGGTAGACAGCCCCCCAGCAGAGTATTTGAACAGAGTATTGTGCATTCGGTTGCACCCGACTGCAACATGGGTACTTGTTGTTTTTGTTTTTATATTGCAATAAATATTTCCGATTTTTCTGCTGCATAAATCATAAGAAACACTTTCACGTGTTGTTATTTTTGTTAAAAATAAGTAAAAACAAAAGAACACAATGTTCAAATAAAATGGTTGACTGCAGCATTTCAATTAGTAAAATGAATTCATTTTCACACATTGCTAAATGCCGAAATGCACATGACTGCTCACATCTAGGGTAAAGCATGCTTCAGCATTTGATTTTCATATCGATTTCATGCTCGACTATTGCATACCCAGCACAACGTTTAAAGCAATGCAAAATAATTTCGCTTAAAGCTAAAATTTCCCCTTTGAAGCTATTCAATTTGGGAAATGGCTTTTGTATACTTACAATAAGATAAACAAACTACCAAGACTTGCAGCTAGGGGCCTCAATTTGGATTATTTCGCACATGGCTGCGTGCACGACACACAAAAAGGACTCGTATACAATTAAATGCTTGAAAATCATTTCGCTGGCACTTACAAAAAAATTATCCTATACATGTATATGAATGCAGTGGTAATGTAAGATAGTATAAGCATGTATTTTTACAAAAATACAAAAAGTGTTCTTCAAGCACAATGTAAACGTCGTTAAGCCTCCCTTAAAGTCGAACTGCCACTGCATTTCTGTTGACATATCAATTTATACAGCTTGCCCTTCTTGCAAGTTAACATTCAAGATGAACATTCATATACTTAAGCGAATAATACCCACATACCATCTGTACCGGGTCGCATTGCAGCTTCAACTAAAATTTCGACTGAAATCCAGCTTCAACTGAAACCCAACTTCAACTTAGATTCAGCTACATGTTGCAGTCCTTTTTATGCTGCTGACTCTTCTACTCGCGAGGTTACACTCATAGCCCCATAAGGAGTACTATATATTTGTCAACTGCATCAACAAGCGCGTCAATATAGGCATGTACATCTTTTCATCTCTCAGATCCTAGCTAAGCTATGTAGTTTCACAGTCTAAAATATATTGGTTTTTGTTCAAAGGTAACTTCGCTAATTGCTTTAATCGCCCGGATCGGACAAGCATATGATTAGCTGTCATAGGAATAGTCTTACGTCTAATCAACATCTAAAACTCTAATTATATGGTCAATGGCAGAAATCGTTGAAGATATGCGTTCTTGTATGGAAAATTATTCTGTTTTTTAGAATATATTGTGCAAATATCAGCCCTACTATTCTTTTTACCTGTCAGCAAGCCCGTATTAAGTCGGGCTAGCATTTGACTCCTATATTAATAAAACCACGTCTCGATCATTAGTCTACGAGAGTATGGGAAATTCATGGGAATAAAATATTATCAAATAATTTCCTGAAATTTGAGATAAGATATGATAATATGAGACGATATGATAATTCCAAACGAAAATAATTTTATAGAGTTGAAATTTTGATAGCCAGCTATCAATTTGTGTAATGTTTCGAATCTCTTTGGTGTTTTTTTTATTTAAATCTTTTCCATTTAAGTCTATATATATGTATTTTTGTTCTTGGCGGTTTCAGTGCATATTATTTAAGCACAAATATAGAAAGTAAATCAAATACTTGTATTTAATAAATACTTACTACAACTTGAAGACGTGTTCAATTATAGAAAACCATTTTGACACTTTGTAAATATTTTCGCTGCACAAAAGGGCTTTATTTGAAACGTAAAATTGAAAAGAGCACCACAGAAACCACACACACTTCAAAAAAATAGCACAGAAATTGTGTGCGAAATTAAAAAGAGCTCGATGTTGAAATAAATTGAGCAAAATAGTGGCAGCTACTTAAGTGAAAATATTTTTTTGGCGCTTGTAATAACTTGACTGCTGCTCCAGCATTATGTCCTCCAACCGTTGGGGGATACGTACCGAAAAAAAAGAGCAATATGAAAAGGACTTAAGTGCAATGAGTGCTGCGGCTTTGCCTGCAGATGCCCGTCCCGTGCTGCTCGGGAGTATCCTGGAATGGGCCTTGTCCTGGGCCTGTGCTACATTCATACGTTTTCGATTAAGCGGCTCCGGACTGGTTCGACTCCTGCAGCCAGCAAACACTCACCAAAAGGAAGCGGAAATTTACACAAAGACAGGATGTAGCAGAACTTTCAGTTGTAAGTGGCCGCCAAGCTGCAGCCGAAATGAGCCAAAATTGCAGCGGGCCAACACAGGCGTCGAAAGGCCAAACACGTGGCTGTTGCCTGTTCGCTGTTGGCGGTTGGCGGTTGGCTATGCCGTGGTGGACTGGTGGCATGGTGGCATGGTGGCCTGTCTGACTGACAGGCCATTAATTTTGGATTACCCAAGCACAGTACAAGTACACTGCCACCAATCCGCCGCCGACTGGAGGCCCCCAAAAAATTCACAAGCTTGCCGGTTTGCCACTTAGTCGTGCTGTTAAGCATTTCATAATGCCCTCAACATGCCTGGCTTTTTTCCATTGCTTCTTGGCCAGGTCGTTAACGTTAATGACAACCTAAGTGGTCATATATAATTTCTGAAAATTATTTCTACCTGTGCAACAAAGTGGCACAAAACAGCCAACTGCGCTATTATTACAAGGATAATAAGCTGCAAGCCTGCGGCAACGATAAGTGTGTAAATGCAAAATGCGTTCAGGTAGCTTCAAAGGTTTCATAAAGTTCAGAAATTTCAAATAAAATCCTTTCCTTTCCTTTACTATAAAAGGTAAAATATAGTTTATTTCTATATAGTTAGATAATAATCAAATGCAATGAAACTTTTTGAACACATGCACAAAATTCAACAAGAATCTAGAGTCAAGGTGGAAGCACTTCAAATGAAAATCATTTGCATTAAAAGCCGTTCTCAATGCACGAATAAACACTTGGTCAGACTTGAGAACTTTTGGCTCGAATACTTGCACAACGTATTTTGGCTAAAAATGTGCTCTCAAAATGACTTCTTGGTGCTGCTTGGCATAATGCGACGAGTGGGTAAATATTTTAAATATTAGAAAACTAAATATGAATTGATTTTCATCAACAAAGTCAAGGGCTCAACAAACAAGCTGGATGTTTGCGGGAAAATATCTCAAGTCTCAAAAACAAAATTAAAAATACATGCAAAACTATAAGAGAAATTTTTAAACGATTTTCTGTTGACTATAGTAATACAATTTTATATTGATACATTAAAGCTAAGCACTTTATATATAATTTATAAAATAATTGTAGTTAATTTGACAGAAAAGTTGAAAGCGAAATGTACAAGATTGTCCTTTCCAAAATAAACCATATTTTTTGGGGCCTCGTAGCGTAGACGCCCAGTTGTCCAAACTACTTTTGCCTAATTTATCTTGTTCTCAGGCTGGCAGCAACAAATGCAGCCGCAATAGTTGAATTACTTCACATATAACCAGACACCCACACACACACACACACACACACCCCTTTATCTATGGCCAGGTGGCGTAAAGTGCTAGAAAGTGTAACTGGGTCGTTGGTAAGTAACTAAGTAGGCGAACTAAAAGCAAAAGCAAAAACAGCCGAGAAAAGTTTTTCACTCGATGTTACAGCATTTGGGGGGGCCAACAAGATAAAATGGACACACCTTATGTGTTCTCCGTTTGGGGCCAAGTGTGAAATAAAGTGTAGGAAATTGCAGGTAGCTAGACGCCTACCAACTGCTGCCTACTTTTGGGCACACACCAAACTCAGCTCCATGGCCAACACAGCAAAATGCCATAGCAATTTGTTAGCGGGTTCGGGAGAGCGTCGTGCAAATGTAATTTACTGGTTGCTCTTGCCTCATGCCGCCAAAAGAATGGACCCGGAATTTATTTGCGGCTATTTGGTAAAGTGAAAGCAAATTAAAGTCTTTACATACCGAGCAAATGCCATGACATACTTTAAGATCCAGCGATTTGTAGCGAAAGCAACTTCAGTGACTCGTAAAGTAGCTAATTCGGCATTTGATATAAAACATTTGCCATACATTACAACTAACCGCGACTGCGATTCGAAAATTATGTGTACACGAATGTATATCTATGTGTAAAACTCTGCCCCGGATCCTTATGCTCAGCTGCGGTCGCTTATACAAATGTATCTAAGGTCGCGAGTGCCAAAAATTTTTGTTGGCTTCTTCAAAATGTCGTGACGGCTCTTGTCCTGTTAGCAACAAGCAAGAAATTGTTGAGCCATGACTTTGGTCTTTACACTGAGAGAAATTTTTCGATTGAAGCTTACTTGGATAATTTCTTATATATTATTGTGGACAATTCCAGTTAGATATGCAATAGATAGAAGACAGTTTTGTTTTATATTATTCCTTATTATTATTAAATATACACTGCGCCTCATCCGGTTAGCACACCACAATATCATTTACGATTAACAACATTTCAAGTGAAACTTTTAGTTTGTGGCAGTGTTTGAGGTTTGCATTCTTTGCCGTCCCTGTCAAACGCTCCGAACTCATGCCCCCAACCATTTGAATTCCAGGCCCATGACGCTTAGGAGCCAAAGCCCGACGCTTTCGCTTCATCATCAACTTTAGAAGTGCCGCAAATCTTTGCGGTTTCGTCTTAATGGCTAAGAAATTGTGATTTATGCCTCGACTTGTGTATATATATTTTCAGTTCTTGACGTATGTGTATCTGGGTAAAGCCTGTTTGCGAGTGTGCTGGTGCGTGATTTACATGCTCGTTAGATGTTAGTAAAAGGGTATAAAAGCTATGTCTGCATATCCTTTGATCTGTATAAAAAAGGATTTTCAACTGACGGAAAAATTTTGAGCATACGGCAGCTTAAAGGCCAGCATCAATTACGTAATTCGTTACGTAATTAGCAACAAATTTATTGGCATCCAAAGGTGCGACCGCCTCCTACTTTCCATCGACTACAATTTTGACTTTCTGTTGGCAACTTCAATTGTTTCTCTGTTGAATTAGTTTAATTAAATCCAAGAGATTGCGATTGAGAATGACCTTTGTGAGGAATGGCGACGTTTCCATTGATGCTCCAACAAACTTAATGAATAGTAAAAAATTGGCTTATTAAGTAATTAGATTCTGTGTCAACACAAGCTCAGAAGCAAACAGCATATATTATTTGATCTCCTTTTGAACATTTTAACGTAATTAAAATAAGATCGAGTAAATCTAATCTATTTACAACAAATAATGTGCGAAACTAACTTTTAGCTCAATCTTAAAAGTAAGCACATTATGAATCATATATAAATCTAGATATAATCAAAAACGCTTCGTCAGCTATGTCAATCTGGAAGAAAAACAAGAAATAGGGTATATAACTTGAGTCTGATTCAAGTTTATACTTATATACACTCACTTGCTCAAGCGTTAGGCATTCAAAGAATGGAATGCGCAACTGTAGTGGACCCTGTTCAGTTGGGTTTCTTATTTCTTTGAGAATCTTTAAGGCTTCTCTAAAGAACTGCAGACTAACGAATTGAGTGCAATAATGAAAATCTATGGCTTTCAGTTTGCAGCAAACTTGGAAAATCCGCAAAAGGCTTTGCGAAATTTTATCAAACTTATGATATGATGTTATTTCAAGCACTTCTAAATTTTCGAAATGTCGCAATTCTTGAAAGCATTCTTCATCGATAAACCCACATTTTAGTCGTCGTAGGGATTTCGCCTTTATTATTTCTTGAAGCTCTTTAATGTCTACGTTATTATCTTTAATAACTAGGTTTTGTAAGATCGGCCTGGTTGGCTTTAGCGATATCCCTTTGAAGAGTTCAGTAAGTGATCCAACGTTTGGTGATGTTATTTGAAGATCAGTTAACATATTTAACTCCGCGAGACGTTTGATTTCTGCAGCTTCAGACTCATCAAATTTAATGTTAAGGTCTTTAAGCTGTGGTAATTTAACTAAAAGTTCTATGCTTTTTATCTCAGCGAATTCACAATGCAAGCTTCGTAGGCTTTGAATTTGCACAATAGCCTCGGTGTCAATATATGATATGGGTGTACTTTTTACATTCAAGAGTTGAAGAGTTTTGGGTTCTGCAGCAGCCAACATATGAAAGAGGCGCGACATTGAGTCTCGTTCAAGATTCCTTATTATAAGTTTTTCCAATTGATTCAGTTGGGTCAGTAATTCAATATTTTTTCCATCGACAAATCCACATTCTAATCTCCTTAGGGACTTAACTCTTGCCACATGGGCAGTTTCTTCACAAGTAAGAGATTTGCCTTTTATGACTAAGCATTGAAGTTTCGACGATTCTCGCAAAACTAATGAGTGCAGGAACTGTATGAGAGAACCTTCTGCATAAGATGTTATTTCAAGTTCCTCAAGGTCTGTTAGCAGCGACAAGAGCTCAAGGCTCTTCCCGTCTGAAAAGCCGCATTTTAGTTTCTTTAGGGTCAATATTTTGACTAATTCTTTTGAATCTTCATAATTAATTGTTTCTATTCGGGGATGTCCTAACGCATTATTCCGTCTATCTACGTTTATCTCCTGAAGAGCTGAGCATTCTCTTGCAGCAAGTGCTTGGAAGAAATCTTTGAATGAGCCTATTTTGTGCTCCCCTTTTATATGCAACGTGCCAAGATTTGGCAGTTCAGCTAGCGCAACATACTCTTGGGCGTCGAAGGCATCATTAAAGTAAGAAATGTTTGAAATTGTAAGCTTACGGAGACTTTTATTAAACGTAATCTCTCGACCCAAACAAAAAACAGATATTTCATTTGCCCCTCCCATAAAAACATTTAGAACACCTTTTGATATATCACGCAGATCGTGCTCCGAATGTATTCTCAATTCTTTAAGATTGGCTAAATGTCGCAAGAGTTTAATGGTTTCAAGATCGGAGAATTCGCATTCTAAAGACCTTCGTTTGTTATAACCAATGGGATCGATTCCAATGCACAATTTCTCAAGAACCGTAGATCGTTTTGTGGCAAATGCTTTTATCAGTGGGGCTAGTGAGTTTAGCATATATTTTCCATTTATTATTAGAATTCGTAATTTGGGCAAATTTGATAGAGGTTCAAAATCTGCAGAACATGTACTTTCACGCATTGTTATGGTTAGTGCTCGCCTATTTTTATCCATACTTATGCAATTGTCTTCATAATATATACTAAAATTCACATTACATGCTATTAAAAGATTCAAAACTGCTTCCGAAACTTTGTAGAGCTTATGCTGTGAGCTTAATTCGAGATTATTCAGTTGTGTCAGATAACTAATGCTTTTCAAATCGGTAAGTCCGCATTTCAAACTAGTTATGGATTGGATTCTTCCAATTTCCAAAATCTCATCGTGATCGAGTGGGAAACCCGAAATGGATAATGTTGTAAGTTTCGCGCATTCTTGTAATGCAAATGCTTGGAAAAGATTTGCCAAGGATCCGCCTCCGCATTTTTTTATGGATATTCTTTCAACTTTACCCAATCGTGTTGGAAATTCAATAATCCGGTGATCATCGATTTGACAATCTAAAACTTTCAGAGATTTTATTTTTAAGAGCTCGATGATCTCTTCATTATTCAGTCTAGTAATTGGCTCACTCGAAAAATTGAACTCAATATCTTCATCATCTTCATCAAAATCCATATCTGACGTAGTTCTCAACTGTTCAAGCTTCGGCGATTTTCGCTCAGCTATCCTCGTAAAGAGTTTTGTTAATGTACCGATCTTGTGCTTTCCAACAATGAGTAAGTTTGTTATATTTATTAAACAAGCCAAATCAGCCAAATTGGCGGCGTCAAGTTCCTTTTTAAAGTATAAAGTTAGTTTTGTCAACCTTTGATCGAACCTTATTGAGTCAATTTTTATAACAAGGCCGTTAATTCCGTTGAACCTGCATTTTTGTAGTGTTTGTATTCTTGAGACTTCGGCAATCTCATCACAATCGATGTCGGCTTTATCAATCATAAGCTTTGTAAGAGTTGTTTGTTCATTTTTAGCTAATGCATTAAAAAGTGTATTCAAGGAACCAATTTCGTGATATCCTTCTATTCGCAGATCACATAATTTTGGCAATTTAGCTAGCGGTGTATATTCAGAGTCGTCAAAGTCACTCTTCACTTTAAATGCGAGTGTCTCCAATTGATTGCAATACGGCACAATGTCAGTTAGCTTTCCATAAATATCATTACTCATTACCTCCAATCTTGTCAAGTTTGGATTCGATTCGCAGTACTCAACCAACTCCATAGCATCGACTCTTACATTTAATTGAAGGTGCTCAAGGTTGGGGAACTGTTGCAAACTACTTATGGAATACCCTGGAAGTGCGAAAGAAAGATAGTTGTGTACCTATAGTTTTGTAGTTAGTTTATACATAACTCACCTAACATATCAATTACCAATGACTTAATGCTACTGCAATTGTCTTGCAGTGCACGTATGAGCATGTCAAATATAGTACCATGCTCACTGTAATACATATCTCCAATATTATAAATCAATTGGACACCTTTTAAGTTGCTATTGAATCTAAGTGCATCCATGAACGTTTTCCAAAATGTATCTTTATCTTTCTGCTTTGTATGCTGCAATCGCTTATAATGTTTGGCAAAATCCACGATGACATTTGAAGATCTATTTAAATAAGTTTGCTCGATCTCGAGGCGTTCGTAAAGACAGGGGTTCCATATCCAAACAACATCGCGAAACCATTCACAGGCAAGCGCAAAACTTACGAGATCTGCGTATGTAAATATATCCAATCTATCCGTTCTTTTAGATGTTTCACAATTGATTCTAATCTGATTGAGTATTTCAAAAATACAATAGGTATTTAGTTGCAAAATATTTGAAATGCGCATATTGTGCCTAAGTGTCAGTTGCGCGTAACTAGTCGGATTTACTTTGAATTATTTGTTTAATATTTTATTGCATGCACTTAATTGCAATAAATTCTTAACACTGCATGACACATCAGAGCACGGTATACATATATATTTTGTACTTATTTCGCAGCACTATCGCTTAGCGTGTTAAGCTGTTACCGATTTGACGAAAACTGAAGAAACACTTGGCGAATACATTCCTTAAATATACAGAAAGAGCGGGAGAGGAAGCGTTAAAGAGACACTGAGGGATTGGAACGTATGATCACTTATCATAATCATAACACGAACTGGAAAACATTTTCTCATACCACAGACTGGTCTCTTGTAATGGTTAATATTATAGATTCCAATTAGTTAAACACACCGACACGTCTGTGCCGTTTGACTTTAGCTTTTTCAATGTTTTATTCAATATATTCTTGTGACTAAGACCGCATAGCTGCGCTGCCGGTTACGCCAGCAGCGGAGCGGCTTTATACATATATTTTGTCTTATCAGCATAATCGGGAGAGAGAGAGTCTTATGTACATATTTGTATGTATGTATATGTGTATATACGAATGGTCAGCGTGGGACTGCAGACTTAGCGTAGCTCATAAGTGGGCGATCATATTACACGCTCACTCGAAAAGGTTTTGTTTGTGTACTGCAACAATGTGTTGCTGATTTATTTATGCATAAACGATGTTACTTTATTAGTACAGTGTTACTTTATTGGTAGAGTATCCCCTAGTCGGGAGCTCCGACTGGAACCTCTTAGTGGTTTTTTGCTGGTGTGGCTGTTGAGTAGAATCGGCAGCAAGTAATGCGGTCAGTTGCGAGTTCGAACCCTGCCAAGGGAACTTTTTTCTTTTTAATATTTTTGGTGTTGGAATAAGAGGGTTCAGTGTATTCACTAGTCGGGAGCTTTCGACTAGAACCTCTTACTTGTTTGTTTATGCTGTTAGGCATATGAAATAAAGTATAGGAAAATGTTTTGGCAGATCCAAATAAATGCAATGAAAACAAATAAATTCCATGCTGTGTAATGGTATAATTAATCTTAATTTAAATTTTGTGAGCGGCAGCAAAAACAATTTTTCCACACTATTTTCACACTATTTTCCAGAATAGTTCCCAAGTTGAAAGTTGAAGCAGCTGTGCTACTCGTAAACTGAAAAAAAAAAAACGTTTAATTTTCATGGGCGATGCACATAAATTTCCCAGCCGAGCTTACTGGTGAGTGTGAGAAGGTGAAATATATGGGGAATAATAGGAAGAATGGATAGGACTCTGAACAATCTTGTAAACAACGCAAACAAAAGTTGCCGCTTGAATCTTAGTTTCGATTGAATTTATTGCTACTGACCAAGGTCTGAAATGGGTCATACGCTGACGGTAGACCGGACCTAACCGAATCTAAGTATTTTGGCAATTTATTTAAGCTGCGGCCAAAAACAAGCACGTTAATTCCAGAATTCTACTCTAAATTAGTAGCATGTGTTTGCCATGGGCATGCCTGACTGTTGGCCCGAGCCTAATTAGTTTAAAAGGCTGCCCTCAGCGAACGGATCGATAAATCCAACAGTTGGACGCACTTCTTTACAGTTGTCAGTGCCCAAGATGGATGCCGTTGCCATTGGCTGCCAAGTATTCAAAGTGACTACCAGGGCTAGTGGCACTTGGCTGGACTGGGTCCATAAATTCCAGGCGGACCCGCTGCCAGCCAAAACTATTACTCACACTCTCGCCGCCTTCAATCGCCGTTATGCCGCCCGCCTTCACTTGGTTATAATTTAGATTGTCTATTTCGCGCAGCTGCCGCTCGATTTGAGCTTGAGCAGAGTCCTGGCAATTGACGTTGTGTACGTGCCGCACTCAAGATCTATCTATGGGGCAAGTATATTTGGCCAGAACAATATTGTTGCCGTTGCCAAATATTCGGCGCTCAGTTTGTCTTGGCCGTGGCACACGTTGAGCACATATTGTTGGCCAAATGGCGTCCAAAGTGGCTGAAAGCATCAGCTTCTTTTCATATAATGCGAAAATTGCAACAGCCCAATTCGAATCAATAGAGAATAAGTATAGAGTTCTTAAATTCGACTAGAGGCTTGAAAGTTAAGCTAACTAGAATAAAATATATAACATTATTTAAACCTAATAATAATTATGCAGCTGAATATCTCAAACTTGTTCAGTTCACTTGAATGTTATTTATTTTGAATATTATAGGATTTTATTGGATTTTGTGGTAAGAATATTGTACATATTTTATGAAATAAAGAAAGCACAAGTTTTTAATTGATTTCATACGGCTCTCTTCTCGAGCTCTATTATTGAAATTGAAATCAAAATTACATTTTAATTTTCTGTTTTGGCACAAAATTGTTAGTTTAATTATCGTTTCGAATGACAGCAACAATTGTTTTAAATTGCTTTCAGTCGAAAAATGCCAACGGAATTTCCACTGAAATTGTCGATCAAGCAGAATTCGCTAGAAGGAAGCATTCGGGTAAAATTGAAGTTAACTCTGTCAATCAATAAAAACAATTTGAAAGCAATCAAAGTTTAATTACCACAACAAACGACCGACGAGAGGTGACGCGAAAAAAGAACAAAAAAAAGAAAAAAAAAAAAACAATAAACACTAACGAATTCACAAGGATAAAGAAGCACAATAACTGAAGCATAAAGCAAAAGGGCCAAGACAAGGAAAATCCATAGACATAGACTTGCCTCACACAACCCATAGACTTACCATATGAGGCGCAACCGTACAAACCACATAAATATAAAAGCGACAATCAGAAAGCTGCGGTGGGACAAAGAAAAAAAAAAGAAAAGGAGGCAAACATAAAAACAAGAATGGCCATAAACAAAGAAATAAACAAGGCATCAAGCGGTAAGTACGAAACATATACGAGTGCGCGCCGAATCTGACTGTTTGGCACAAAGCTTCCGGCGGAAATGGAGTGCACAAGCTCGCACACAAACACACACAGACATTTAAAGGAATAGACGCACAATGATGCCAGCCAGCGCTGCTGACAACAGATGCCAGCTAAATATAAAAGACTGATAGCCAGCTTAAAGGCATCACATTATGAGGTTGACACAAATATAAAAGAAATAAACAAGCGACTGTCTTCGTTATTTGCTTGTCACAAGCTTCTCAGTGCATACGGCACCTGAATGAAAACCGGCAAATGCACAAGCACATATATACCAGCATTAAGACAAACCCACAAGCAAACATACCTGATCAATTCAAAAGAAATAGTGATACAATTTGCCTTTAAGTTTTCATTTTGTTTTTCTATATAAAAAACCACATGTCCTGACTGACTGACTTCCTGATTGGTGGTCAATCTACAATTGAAAAAGACTTTTTGGGCGAAGTTTTCAGTTTTGTTCCATTGTCGGAAAACAGTTCTATGAAAGTTGTTTAAAATCAATTGATTTTGATTTAATAATTGGGTGTCAAAGATTAAATGGGCGAAGCTTCGGTTGTAAGCTTATTTCCAAAGAGACATGATCAAAATTCATGGTAGGTGTTTTTTACACTATTCATCAAATGTAGGTCTCCTCGATGGAAAATGTGAGTCAAAGCTTTAATGAGTGAAAGTTAATTTTTTGTCTTCGAGATTCTTACAAGACTAATATGGTTTCTGCCCCGTTCTTTAGTTCTTTATTCGATGAACTCTAAATATATTTTTAAATAAAGTTTAAATGAAGTTCAAGATAGTATGGCCAGATTTAAAATTGTCACGGCGGTAACGGAGCGAAAAAGTTAAATCTGGGGCATTTTTGCTGGTCTTGTATATAGAAAGTAAGTCCCATGGCCAGTCTAAGCGAATCGATTATTATGCGAATAAGAATCGAGATATTATATATAGAGTGGGAAGCTAAGCAGCAAGCGAATAAAACAAGAAGGAAAATGATACTGAAATTAAAATATCTTATCTGTTACCAATATTTATATAAGTGAAGAGCACTGACAGCCTGGTTTTATTAAAATTTGTCAATAAACATACATGTTCTGCGAGCCAGTTCGACATTTAACTGGAACTAGTTCGTCTTACTTTTAATATCTTTTGTAGAAGGTCGCAAAATATCTAAACATTTAGTCGCTGTAATTAAAGAAACTAACAACAATTGTAATTATTAAAAAAAGCATATTCAAATTGGTTATAATTGTGTTTTCAGCGCAAGCCCATTTTATAAATGTGCACCTGCATTTCATATCCTCCCGTGCTGGCCAAAATGATGGCGGCCAGTTACGTTTCTATTATGGCAGATGCCAGACTTTAGCCATGGCTAAAAGCAGCAACGGTGATAAATCTGCGCAGTGCTCTCAGAACTTTTGCAATTTTTCACAAGAGACGAAACTTGAACACTTACCAAACAGCAAATAGAAATATTAAATATTTAAAAGTACTTCGGTTCGGCTTTTTATATTAATATTTAAAGTGTTTGCAGCCTTGACTAAAAGTTCATGCAAATTGGACAAGTTGCAAAAAAAAAAAAAAAAACTCAAAGGATATTTTGTGGGAATTGTTGAAAACTGATGGCAGCTGTGGGTCATTTTTTCTTGTCGGCTATTAGTTCTAGTTATAATGATTATAACCAACCAATCGAATTGATCAGATGCCCATTCCCAGGAGGTCATTAAAAATTGTCTAAGAGAACCGTACAAATTGCTCAATTTCAAAGGCTAGGAAAATTACTTAACGAGCGCTTTGATTATTCGCAAATGCCGACGTATCGCAAAAAAGAAGCTATAAAAGCTGCCGCTGCCTAACTAGGCTGGCACAAACTTTGCGAGTGGTTCATCATGCGGCTAAAGGACTTCATGCACTTTCCGGACATTGGCTGCCGACTAGCTATGATGCGGTGTTACGAGTGGTTTGGCAGCGAAACGCCGCGTGTTCATCAGACATTGGCTCAGCGTGTGTGGTTTCGATTTGGTGCCTTGAATCTGATCTATCAAAACTTGGGCATGGTCATCTATCTGTTCATGGCAAAGTCACAGGTCGACAAGCTTAGCACGATTGTAGCACAGATTTCGGAGACCTGCAGCGTGATGGGCCTGACGTTGGTTGGGGCCTGTAATATGTGGATGCTGCTGCAATATCGCAGCGATATTGAGTCCATGTTGGCCGACTTGCAACAGCTGTATCCCAATCGAGGCATCCAAAGTCGGGTCTATCGCATTGAGTATTACTTTGAGAAGTCGACGCGCCTGATGAGATACACGGCCATTTTCTTCATCTCTGCCTATGGCTACTACAATGCTTTGCCCGTTTTGCAGCTGCTGTATGAGCTGCTGGCAGACTCGCAGCACGTCAGTTACCAGTACCAGAGCAATACCTGGTATCCCTGGCAGCTACTGGCCGCTCCGGATTCATCTATAAGTTTCATCGCAGCGTATCTCTGCCAGGCACTGTCCTCACTGGTGGGCGTTGCCTTTATTATGATAAGCCAGTTCTTGTTGTGCTTTTTCATTACCCAAATGCGTCTGCATTTCGATGCCTTGGCCAATGGTCTCTACTATCTGGATGCTAGACAGCCAGATGCTAATGAGCAGCTGAAGGTGTTGATTGCCTACCACAGCCGTCTGCTGTGCATTGTGGACAAAATCAATGACATCTTTAACTTTATGTTCCTGATCAATTTCACAACATCTACGATTGCCATCTGCCTGATGGCCTTTGCCATGGTCATGATCAGTTTGGCCTCGACCTTTAAATACTCCGTGGGACTGCTTTCCTTTTTGGTCTTTACGCTCTTCATTTGCTACAATGGCACCGAGCTCACCTCGGCAGTAAGTTGATTTTAGCTACAAAAGATAAACTATCCACAGCACGAATTATGTACTTGCAGAGCGACAAACTGCTCCCTGCTGCCTTCTACAACAATTGGTACGACGGCGATTTGGTTTATAGAAAGATGTTACTCTTCTTAATGATGCGCTCCTGCGAGTCGCGAGTGCTGCGCGCTTACAAATTCACGCCCGTTTCTATGGCTACTTATATGGCCGTAAGTATGTGTATTATTAATATATGTATGTGAAACTTATGAATGTACTTTTTCGGCAGATGTTGAAATTTTCCTATCAGCTTTTTACTTTTGTGCGTGCTATGATATAGTTAATCTACAACGTCTGCTGAGGCATATATTATCTTGGGCAAACAAAAAGTTTTAACATAGCACTAAATTTTATTAATGCACACGGCGCCTATTTGAATCAGAATCTACAGGCCTTAATATAAGCCATGAGGATCGCATAGAAGGGCACCTATTGGAAGAGGCGAGTACAGGAACTAAAGTAAGAGTAGGTATGAGATTGAGGGATAAAGCTCCCTCGATACAATGAAAATTACAATAACTAAGCAAAGACAACTTTTAAAGTTCTATAAGTTATATAGTTTCACTTCGCAAATCTCGAATCTGCAAAATAAAAATTATTAGAATTCTGCAAATAAATAAACAAAGCTACTACTTTCCCTTTCGCATGCGGCCAATTGATCAATGCTGTTGTCAAATATAACTTTTTTCTTCTATTTAATTTAGAATTGAGTACGTTTAGTTATTTGCTTTAATGCGCTGACTGGCTGCCAAACAGGGTACAAACTTATTAAAATTGGATCAACTCAAAAGGCTGCTGGGTGGCTTTCAGTTAGCGCAAGTGAATTTCTCAAATTTCGTTTGCTTGTGCTTGTAGCAGAGTCGGGCTTGTCCCGTGACCCTCGGTTATTTACGTTAGCATAGAATGCAAAAGCGTAAAATTAAGTTCTTCACAAAGGACGAGAAAAGTAAAAATTGGGAATTATGTACAAGTCACCTGCCTGTTATTATGTCCGTCTATCTGTCCGGCTGTCTGTCCGTCTGTCATGTAGTAGCCGTGTTGACTGTGGTGGCTGTGCTGGGTGTGATTATCGCGTCGTTATCCGGGATCAGTGGCTGGCCCCAGCGCCAGCATTGCCCACTTCGCACCCCTGCATTACACACTTGCAGCTCGTCCCCGCTTATGGTCTGGCCCTCACTTTTATTTTATATAATAACATTTTAATTCCCTTAATACACGCTACGCTGCCTGCAAAGCTAAACAAACTGAAAGCCGCAGCCACATAGCCGTTGGCTGTTGACGTTGGACGTTGCCGGCTTTTAGGCGCACAAGCTGCTCGCAATGTTTTAGGCATTTTTTCCTCTTTGTGTGTGTGCTTTTTTTTGTTGCTGCTTGTTTGCGTAAATCATTAATCATAAGCTGCGCATATTTATTGTATTTTGCCCTTGTTGACAGCTTTTAGTTGCGCCTGGGCATGACCATGGATAGTCCTGTGTATGCCATTTACTATGCGCACTCACGGAACTAAGTTAGAATTTATGGTTTTGCTCAAACTTTCATGGCTTTAGCATCTGCAATTTAACATTAAAAAGATGAAGCATTTTCCGCTAACATAAGCATCTGATTTTCTAAACTGCAATTTTGGAGCAATATGATTATGGCAAGCAATTTGGTTGATTAATACCCTGTACTTTTTCCAAAGGCATTGGAAAGAATAGGTTAAAGCTCTGCAATTGTAGAAGGCACCTCTGACCCCATTAGGTATATATATTCTTCATTAATAATGCCGAGCCTATATATGTAGCCTTGTTTGCGTGACTCTGGGTCCATTTCAATTCAGGAAACTTAAATAGCTAAAGAACGAAGAATACGAAATACAGAGTACAAGCTAGTGCAGAATAATATGGAGCATATGGGGAATATATGTAGAATAAAGTTTATGTTATTGCGTGAATTAATAATCAAGATTTTAATCTATAATTGTGAATTTCCTACAGTTTTTTGCTATACTTAACTACTTAGCACATAAGCCCTGTGGTTGTACACTTTAATAAGTGCTTTCAGCTTCAATATTCTGATTTCTTATGGGTATTGTTGGGCGCATAGAGAAAGCCAAACACAAAATGCAATGTGTGCCAGTTAATTTAGCCATCAGCTTTTGGGTGTTTAGACAATGCACTGTTACAAATTGCCCAATCAAGTGAAATGACCAGGCAACCCCTCCTAAGAGAACAGGCACACATGCACACATGCATATAGATGCCGAGTGCATTTTGTTCATGCCCATATACAGAGGGTACACAAAATCGACAGTGGCTATAACAGTTGACTATGCCCTGAGATGGGCCAGATCAATGCAGCTTGAAGCATTTTGCTGCCCGGCTGCGGTGGCCCGCCGCTCTCAGCCATCCACTTGCAATGGCCTTGATAAGTTTTAAGCAAACAAAGTCGGCTCGTTACAGTACATGAGTTTTAGGACAGGATACTGTTGCGCAGAACATTCCCTTGCCTACACCAAAAACTGTGCCGTTTAAGTAAGCCGCAAAATGTAGTCAAAGAACAAGCCTCAATTTCGTACTAAAACTTTAAACGAGTCTACAGATAAAGGAAATCAACCTCAGCAGCTGGTTTATACTAAACCAACGCTAATCATCTGCGGGAAAGTAGAGTTAAAATTTAGTCAGTTAACGCTAGGCGCTTTAATTCGAGCCTATGGAATGTAAGGTAACACGACCTTAATGTATAAATGTATATATAAATATGTACTTACCCAAAAAATTCATGCCCACATAGTTTATAGACATTAATTAGTAGCAGGAGCTGTCTTTTATGTATGTATGCTCTTCACTGAAATAAAAAAGAGAAATTGAGAGCCGGTTAGAGAAAGAGTAGCAACAAGAGGGGAATAACTCAAAGAGAGAGTGAGAGAGAGAGAGTGGGAGGGAGAGAAAGATAATAGTTTAAGAAGGGTAAGATAAGGTTATATAATATAATATAAGGTAAGGTAAGGTAATATAATATTTATAATCAAATCAGGAGAAGCTGAAAGGCTTTATTGAATTCATAAGATACTGAAGAATAAGTTTTTAAATTGTAAGCAGCTAGTAAGAAAGTCAGGAAAACATAAAACACGTAGATGACAAGCACTCGGCGCATAAGTCCACATTTATTTAATGCTGCCAAATACACCAGGTTAATGCGTATGTATGTGTTTATTTATGTACTCCCAGCTAATGCACATATGTATTTATTTATGTACTCTGGTATGGAAAACCATTTTGGTTTGCATTTGACTTTCACACTGTCCATCAATTACTTAGCCTTATCTGCAGGGGCCATATGGTGTCAGCGTTTCACTAAGAGAAAATAAAACAAATAACGAGAAGCCAAAATTTTTACACACAATTTAGAGACATTTCCGCACGTGGCCAACTACGGACTCCCCTAAGCTCCAAATGCGCCATGACGTCGCGTTAGAAAACAAAAAAAAAACACATATATATTTATATATATCCCCACTGCGGAGAAAGTCATGAGATGTGAGAGCTAACAAAAAAAAAAAAACAATGAGAAAAAGTAAATATACAATGAGAATGTGACCGAAGTTGATTTACTCTAAGATCTATTGGGATTTTACGGGATAGATATGGGTTGAAAAATAATTATAATATTTGCCTAATTTCGATATATTTACGCGTATTTGCCAGGTAAATCTGGGAAACGTTCCAATAATATAATCGTCATGCTTACAAACGTTCATGTAAGTGTATAAAAACGTCGTCGATTTCCAAAAAAAAAAAAAAATATATATATATATGCCGCTTTATGCACGGATGTACCTATTTGGCCGCCTGCTGTTGCTGTTGCTGTTGCGTGGAGTTTTGTCGTTGTGGTGCAGGGTAGTTCTTGGTTCTGGAACGATGAATTCAAAACAATGTGGACCGCACGGCGGGCTGGCATCGGCATCACAGCATTTATGTCTATTAAACAAGTAATAAACTTCATAAATTTAACAAATTAGAATTATTAAATTTCATGTTTGTGACATTTTTAGCGACAGGCGCGTTCGCATTAACGTTAATGGAATTTTTCAATGGCTCACTCAGGCGAGCCGAAATTATTTATGGCACATAATTTGCCAAAGCTTTTGACTGGATTGCAGAAGTCAACCTGTTTCAGAGTTAATCTCTGGTAACAGGTAACTCCAATGCTCACTCGAATTTCAACCTCAAAGTCAAATCTAAACAATTGTTTTGTTACGGAAAATATAATAAATAAATTAAAATAATATCACGCTTAACATTTATGCGCTTGTAAACGTAAGTTGTTCATTGATCGAATGCTCATTATTCGGACAGTACTCATACGCCGCATCGTACGCTAATAAAGTCATCAACATGAATGGGAGCCCGACACATCGTGTCATGCGAAACTCTTTGAGTTGCAACCACAATACAGCGGTTGTGGCAGTAGCAGGCATTGACCGCGGCACCATCAGAACGCCACCTATTTCCAATTACCGCTGACGATGCATCAGCGTATGGAATGGTGTTTGGTTGTGCGAGCTTGCAACTGAAACTGGCGTTGGCACCGGCCATGATTGATTGCAACAAAACCAGATTTTGGTTGCTGTCATTTAAGCGCCAGCTAACTTTCGACATCGCCCCCATGCATTATTGACATGGCTGGCTCTGGGTTGCACGCCTGGCGGCAACTGGCTCGTTGCGTCCATAAGGCGTTACACAATTTAAATTACGAGCCTGCTGCATTTTTTAATTAAACACAAATTAAAAATTGATTGCTTTTTGTCGCCGTAACTCGCAGACGATATTGCGATGTGGAGCAGCCTGTAAGCTCGATATTTGTGGCATACTTTCAGGCGGTCACATATCAACGTCATATTTATGAATTTTGTCTTATTTGTGTATGTATATGTATATATATATATATATATAATTTTTTTTTTAAATATTACACATTTTAACACAATATAGAAAAAGTTGTGCAGCAAATTTGCCTATGCGTGCCACATGCAATGCGAAAAGTTTGAGTCTTTGGTGCTTCCGATTTCTTTCGCTTGTTGTATACATTTTAACTGCATTGCAAACCGGAAGTAAAAGGTTTTAAGCGGAAGTGCGCAGAGCTGTAACGACATGTGTTTGTGTGTAACCTATTCTATACGTACATGCATGCACATATACCTTGATGTAAGTGTTGTGTGTGTATTGGTAATTACATGGCTTGACTGTTAAATGTTGGCGTCACATGCAAACTCGCAAACGGTTTGTTTTTCGAACACCA